ATCTCAGTGTCGCACTTAACGTCCTATGATACAGATACAAACAATTGCTATGTATTCAGGACTGTCAGTTTGTTCTCCTAAAAACAGCAAGTTGGCTATCTACCCTGGTGCCCTGGGTTATTTATCGACCATATCGATTCATATCTAGGGCTTAGAACCATATCACTTTGAAATACCGGTTTTCGTATGACCACCTAGGTTAAACAACACCGAACCAGGTCAGTACATAGATGGGTGACCGCTTGGGAATATCAGCTGCTGCAAATCTTGGAAATTGCAGAGCCGAGAGTTAAAAAAAAAACAAAAAAAACAAAACAATGCGTCAGGATTTTTGAGGATAAGAGGGGCAATAAAATAAATTATCTTATCAGAACCGACGAACAAAATCCAGAAAGTAATTATTTGTAATATAAAAATGTGACAGACATTTTCTGGTTTCTGGTCGTCGGATCTGATGAGATAATTTATTTTTATTCCCCCTCTGATCCTCAAAAATCCCAACGTATTTTCCTTACACACATTTTGGCTATAATGACTTGAAAAAGCCGAGATCAACATACGTCGACAAAATGCGTCGTTTTCTACTTTGCGTCCCGTTTTGTATCATTTAATATTATACATCCTATAAAAAGACATATATAACTGTACAACCATCCTTATCTTTATGTCTCTATCTCATAATCTGATAAAAAGTTTCGCACATCAGGGAATCAGACAGAGATCGGATTTTTGCTAACAACACAATTTCGACTGGATAATATCCCATCTCCAAAAACATCTGTCGGTGAGTAATTCCTAATTCTCTTTGTTCTTCGGTCCGGTGATGAAGAACACATGCGTGTCCGAAAATTCCGAACGTAGAACCATTCTCTCCATGCTTCATTTCTGTCATATGGTTAATAATTAATATTTGATAAATGTTTATTGTACTGATTATATTGGTACCCTTTCGTTTGTCCTTGTTTTATTAATCAACCTATCCACTATATATATATATATATATATATATATATATATATATATATATATAGAGAGAGAGAGAGAGAGAGAGAGAGAGACATACAAGATGCGATGGATAAATTGTCGTATAAATTACACATTAATTAAAATAACACTGATATCTCATTTTAACAGATATATTTACCAAAATTACAAAAAAATATTTTTTTAATACGAAACAGTAAATTTATTTTAAAAGATCGCCATTGGTTTCAACTTGGATCTCTTCTTTGTGTTGAATGGTGCAGAGGCCCGTTACCAGACATAGGGTCTACCAGCAGTCACCCTCTTGACCCAAGGTAGCACTGCCTCCTCAAGGCAATTAGTGTAGGCATCTATGTTGATTCTGAGCCCTTGTACGAAGATGAATTGAGACATTGTTAGTGAGTACTCCAAACACATTCGTAATCGCCATTAGACTCATCCAACACTTTCCGAATACACGGCATTGTCCTCAGATTGTCACCCATCGCGAATAGCGAGCACAAAAGCATGCTGCTTCCAAATTTATGGGGAAGTGAATTGCGCCATGGTATTCTTTGTCTCACAGACATTGCCCAGCTGACCCTACTATACTGTGTTGTCGACAAAATCAAAAACAAACAACGCGCATGCGCGAAATTAAGAAAAATGTAAAAAATGGCGACAATTTATCAATCGCTCTGTGTGTGTGTGTGTGTGTGTATATATATGTATATATATATATATATATATATATATATATATATATATATATATATATATCTTCGGTTTCACTCATAGCTTTATGTCTTCCGCTTTCTCTCTCTTTATAGCTCCCCTCCCTTTTGTACGCACCTATCTCATTTTGGTTTTTCACTCTTATCCCTCTCTATATTCCTCTTTCCTACTCTCCGCTTATTTCTGTTTCGTCTCTCTCTCTCTCTCTCTCTCTCTCTCTCTCTCTCTCTCTCTCTGTGTTATCTGTCTGGGAAATCTCTCTTTCTATCATTCACTCTCTCTCAGTCTCTGTTTCTCTCACTTTCTCTCTCTCTCACACTCTTTCTTTCGCTTCATCACTCTCTTTCTCTGATTCCCTCTCTCTCTCTTTCTCTCTCTCTCTCTCTCTGTGTCTCTCTCTCTTTCTCTGTGTGTTCATCACATTCTGTTCAACCTATCTATCTCATTCCGTGAAATGATCAATCTCTCTCTGCTAGATATATCTTAATCAGTCTATACCTTTATTTATCTAACTCTAACTATACCATGGTTTCCTGTATTTAAGGAGAACGCAGGTTCGAATACTGATGAAGGGCCCATTTTCTTTATAAAGGACTCTCGAAAACCCCGGTTTTCAATCTGTTTTACCACTTAAAAAAAAAAGAAAGAAAAAAGATTATCTCCTCAAATGCCATTATCCACTAAATTTAACGTTTAGATTAATAAGCAATGGTTTATAAATAAAATTCCATTAATTCCTCAGAAATGATTTTGTTTAACTTTCGTATTCGGAATTAAATTTATCATAATAGTCCATCGAAAGCTTATAACGAAAGATGTACTTTCATTGATAATGGTAATTGAGTCACGCATTGATGTTAAACTCTTTCGTGGTCGAGAGATCGAAAACAAGCCAGAGTTTACAGTGAGGATTTAAATATATAAGAATGGTGTACTTTCTAGATTTATCGATACGCACGTTTTTGGTTTGTTTTTTTTTCTGTCTTTTTTTATTGAAGCTTTTCGAAAACATACGATGATAGATGTCAATTACACTGCTTATGAAAAAAAAACAACAAAGACGTCTACTCCGCCAGTATATGCATAAATACAACGTTTACATCAAAAAGATATATTTTAAAAATCGGGAGGTCAGTTGAGTTCGCTCCCTTGAGTTCACCACTTACGGTATCCTCAGGCAATTTGCATCATTTGAACTCTTAACGCCTTACTTAAAAAATACTAATGAACATTATATTATTTTTTAAAAAATAAATAAACACACGACGTAGTGCATAATACAAAGGGAAGAGGAGGATGTGAAGAAGGAAGGAGAAGAGGGAAGAGAAGAGGCTAGGGTCGTTTTGGGGGGTATTAAGTATTGGTGGGGTATTAACTGAAATGTACATTTTTTTAGAATTTTTTTATGTGCTTAAGTGGAATTTCCTAATATGTATGCAAGGACTCAAGACTTCGGTTTCTGATTCAAAAGCATTTTTTGCTCCGGAAATGTCATAATTCTTAATTTTTCTAGTTGGCAGAAATTGCAATTCTTGTTGTGGTTGTTATATGGTTTGACCCTTTTGAAAATATATATATATATATATATATATATATATATATATATATTAAGCTCAAACACTAATATTCCATGGTTATAATTTATTACATTCGAATCGTAATCACGTTCCAAATCATCAGACCTAGAAATTCAAATATATATACATATATATATATATATATATATATATATATATATATATATATATATATATATATATATATAAAAAAAACAACATAATCGCATTTTTTAGGATTTTGTTTTGTTTTTCCAGATATTTTCTTCATTCTGTCGGATTTATATCCATTTATATTTGCTTATCATATATATATATATATATATATATATATATATATATATATATATATAAAAAACAACATAATCGCATTTTAAGGATTTTTGTTTTGTTTTTTTTCCAGATATTTTCTTCATTCTGTCGGATTTATATCCATTTATATTTGCTTATCATATATATATATATATATATATATATATATATATATATATATATATAGATAGATAGATAGATAGATATAGAGATAGATATATATTTGTTTTCGCAGTGCGAATCGTTCCTCTGTCAATTTTATATTTCCCAACTTATTATTCTGAAATGTGTTGGCTGAAAAGTATCCTTAAATAAGAATGCTTTCCTGTTTTTTCATATATATATTCGTTAATTTTACGTATACTTGATGAGGTCCGTAAAAAACGTGTGAATTTCTTTTCATTCTTCATTTTAGCTTTTGGAAGTAAAATCTGATGATCCAGAACCCTGTTAAAGGGGTTATGGTGAAATAGCTTATTACATGGAATCTTAACGTGGGCTGTCTTTTATTCAAACATATATATATATATATATATATATATATATATATATATATATATATATATATAGAGAGAGAGAGAGAGAGGTTCTGTTGTGCCAATCTCCTGTTTATATATATATGTATACTTTTAATATATATATATATATATATATATATATATATATATATATATATATAATGTTGTATATATCAGAAGAATTTTAGAAAAATCTCTGGCACAATTTCTTTCCCCTTTCGTATAGCCATTTTAAAATATCCCACAAACTAAAAGTCGCAAGCCTGTCTCTGTTCTATCCCTATTCGCATAGAAAGTGTTCAGGTGAACTGCATTTCTTAGTTTCACCCGTTCTAATCTTTACACCCACCATGACACCTACATTGAAGCTAGACACCGTCATTCCATTCGTATTTCATTGGATCCATTTGAGCAGGTTTTACTCAGTCGTAATTGTTCTAGCGAGACAAGCTTGCTAACAATTACACCGTCTCAAAAGGTGCCCAATTATATATATATATATATATATATATATATATATATATATATATATATATATATATATATAAAAATATATATATATATATATATATATATATATAAAAAAATTATAATTTTTCGTCGAGACAAAAAATTATTCATTACGAAATGCAACATTCTTTCGGTGCATATAGTTGTACCTCGACTGGCGAGAAAGAATTTATGTATTATTTTCGTTCTCATTACATTTGGATATATATATATATATAAGAAATAATATATGGTTCAAATTCCACCTTCTGTAGGTATATCCAGAATTAATATTGGACTTGTTTTCCTTACCTTTATATACAAATATTTTCAGAATAACTATCCTTTAAGTTAGATTTTTAATAGAAAACTATTGCAAATAGTACAAAAATGTACAAAAAAATGTTTAAAATAATTGACTCCCACAACAAATATGTTCTTAACAAATTCAACGGTGTCAACAAGACATCTAATATGGACCCCTCTCGTAATTATAGTAATAGCAAACTTTTCCCAGTCGAATGAAAATGTAGAGCATCTAATGTTATTCATCAGGTCACCATTTATCCCAAAGAAAATAGATCAAACCACCATGTTTATATTGGGATTCCTTCAGGGGAATGGAAATAAAGACTATATAACCATAGATACGCTTTTCCAAACCCAAAACTAAAACACCAAACTACTCTCTTCCAAAAATTTTGGGAATTGAGGGAGAAAGACTTGAACCCTCTAATTGACTGGGAATTCATAGACTTTGCTTAGACTCCTAGTAGCTTTAAGGCTAGATGAAAATTAGAATTATTAAATTTAATAAGCAAAACATTTTACTAAACAAAAGGAATGAATTGGTTACCAAGTGTCGTCATAGAAGTAAATTCCAACTGATATAATATATTTTTCGGCCTCGCAGTTTCCTCATTTACTTATTTTCTATATGCGATTATTTCTAAATGTGATATTTTCTCTATATGTGGATTTTTTGCATATGTACTATATTTTTTTTTATTGATTACTCCTTTTATTTAACTCTGTTCCTCTCGGTTTCTTTATAAATGATACTGTTTTATTTTAGTTACATGTAATTCTCTTATTTTCCTATTTTCCTTTGTTTTATTGCTAGCTATATCTCGCCAAATTTCTTTTATATCTGTTGTTTTCTTAATTAAGACCTCTCCTTTTTTTCTGTTTATTCTGTTTTCATGTTATATGATTTACTTATGTATAACTGATATAGTACTTTCATTCATTTCATATTGATTTTATATTATTTCCCCCGCTCACACACTTAATAAGGTTTATTTGAAAAGTTATTTTTTATATATTTTCCCCTTTTTAGTTAATTTAGTTGGTTTAATGAGTTTTTGTATATCTCATAAACTTTTTAAAGAGTTATTTTTTTCATATTTCATATCCTATGAGATTTTTAAAAACCTTATGTTTCTATTTTTCTATATATTTCTTCTTCTTTATATCTTAGATGTTATGTGCTTTCAAGTATATCGATGAGTTAATATTACTTTTATTTACTGGTTTAATGTCTAGCTGTTTTTATTGGCTTTTGGGGGTTGTCCTGTGTTATTTTTTTTATTGTAGTTTCGATCTGTAAAAGGGATCTTTATGCGGTTATGCATTTTAATTTATAATTTAATCAATATCTGATTTTAATCTGTTTAATCTATTACATTTTAATCTATAATTATTTTTAACATATATGATTCTGTCTAATCCTTTATATTTTAATCTATAATTAATCTATATAATCTTTAAATTTAATGTTAAGTTTAATCTATGTTTTACCTTTTATTAATCTATTTAAAAATGTTTTCTCTTATTTTGTAAAATTTTCATTTAGGCTATTACTTATCTAGCTTTTCAATTTCGTCATTTACGTTATTATTTTTAATATCATTTTTTTTTGTTTATATACGAATAATGTCTTTATTTTTTTTTTATTAAAATATCAAATTCGTTTGCTTAATATTAAAATTAAATAATAGTTTTAATATTAAATTCTAATTGTTATTTTATTTACAATATTTAAAACTCTTCCTTTTCTTAACTTTAATGATTGTATTTTCTTATGTAATTTTTTTTTTTCCCCCTATTTGAACAAGGGTTAATATTTTAAATATAGGTCATTGTTAATCCTCGACCGTTTTTAACTTCTGTCTGGACTTAAATATGTTCTGTCTTCCTGTTCCCCTTCACTACTTTGATGTTACTTTTTTCTTTCTTTCTATCTCTCTCTTAAATGTATTTTCCCTTATTTGCGGTTTGTTCCTCCGTTTTCCTCTATTTTTTCTACTTTCTTTTCTATCTTTTTTAACTTTAATTAAAAAAAAAAACTATCGATTCATTTTTTATCAAACGTTTCTGTATTGACAAGCTCCAGTGAATTTATTTAGTTAAACTCTTATGTAATTTACATATATATATATATTGACGATCGCAAAAGCGTGAAACCCAGGGTCAAAAACTATCTCTGATATTGAGCGCTTTCTAATAAGTACCATATATAATATATAAATAATTATATATATATATATATATATATATATATATATATATATATATATATATATACACCTTTCACACACACATATATATATATATATATATATAATCTTAAGATGTGCTATATTTATGAGATGAAGTGCTCAATATCAGAGATAAAGCGTGTTTTCAATATAAAAGTGAACATAGAAATCAACACTAGAGACAGGCTGTTTCATATAGATGAAATCGTTATCTCCTGACGATTGCGTCTAGTATGAAACAGACTGTCGCCTCAAATGTGTTGGCTTTATGTTCATTTATATATATATATATATATATATATATATATATATATATATATATTATTTTCTTTCTCTCTTTTTTTCTAGCTTTCTATTTTCTGCTTTCGTTCTTTTTTTTTTTCAACCTTTCTTTCTCTCTATTTTAGCTTTCTATCTCACTTACTTTCTTTTTGCGTTACTTCTTTCTTTTCTCTCTCTCGTTCTCTCTCTCTCTCTCTCACTCCCTTCTTTATTACCGTATCTGCTCGTGTATAAGTCGACCTCATGTTCAGTGCAGCTCCGGAAATCTTTTAGACATGAATTTTAATTCCTCCAGAAAATTTACCTATGTATAGTGTTAGCAGTCACTGAAAATGCATGATGTTTTAGCTCATGAAAAAAAGTACTTGTGTATAATGCGAGTCCCTATTTTTCTGTGGAAAAAATGCCCGTATGACTCGCACTATAGACGAGTATATACGGTATGCTAATTTATTCCATCATAATCTCGTTAATTATATTTTCTCTCTTCTTCATTACTTTTAATCAATCTGTACCATAATAATCGCTTTCTTTTTCTTCCTTTCCTTTCTTTATATTCAATCGATCCCATAAGCATCCCCGACTTTTTGGATCCTGTTTCTTGTACTCTTGCTTTTAAACAAGCTATCCCATAATACTTAATTAAGCCATCCCATAATAACTAGATCATTTTTCTTCTCTCTTCTTCATTACTATTAATCAATCTGTTCCATAATAATCCCTTTATTTTTCTTAATCTGATTCTCTCTCTCTCTCTCTCTCTCTCTCTCTCAATAATACCTTTTATCTATTCTTTTCCCCTCTTTTTAGTTCGTCTATAACGATCCTGTTATGAAAAGTGATTTCCTTCGTATTATCTCAGTGGTAGGGAATCTCGCGTATCCTATTTTGTCTTTCCCCTTACTGCCTGGGGACTCACATAGCCTCTATGCGTGAGATATGCTAATTAGACAGTCATTTAAATATCACTACAGATGCCACATTCTTTTTCTCTTTTTCCCTTTATTTGCATCATTCTAATCGATCCGTTTCATAATGCTTCTTCTTCTTCTTCTTCTTCTCCTCCTCCTCCTCCTCCTCTCCGTTTTCCTTCAAACTTTCTGCCCTGTAATAATCTATTTACCTTTCTCTTCTATTTTTCTCTCTTTCTTTTTATTCTCTTAAAAAAAAACAAACGCTATCTTTTTTTTTCTTTTCCCCGTTCATTTCGCCATAGTTTTTTTTTTTTTTTTTTTTTTTTACCCATTTTTTAAATCCTTTATTTAACTCCCTTGTTGTTTCCTTCTCTCTCTTAATTGTCAGTCTCTTTTTTCGATTTCTCCCGCTCTTTCTCTTTCTTATCTACTGCCCACCCTCTCATTGCTTCTCAACTTATCTGGAATATTTCCTCGCTTTTTTCCTAACATTTGTTCTTTTTTTCTTTTCCTTTTTTTTTTTTTCAATTCGTTTTGCTTTTTAAATTATTCTAATCTACTATTTCTTCCTTCACTGGCCTTCTTTCTGCGATCACGAAATAATTAAATGTGACAAATTTAATTTTATTAAATCATTCGTTCTGAACAGGAATTTTTCTCATCGCCATTTTGAGGGAAATTGGATTTTTTTACTAAACAAAAGACTTTGATCTTAAAAAATAAAACGGACGTAATATATAGAAATAAAAATTGAATTAGTTTTCCTATCGTTCATTAAGTGCATAATCAGATTAAATTCTGTAACCAATACTCACAATATATATATATATATATATATATATATATATATATATATATATATATATATATATATATATATATATTTCAATATATAATATTTCTAAAACAAATAAAACCCTCCCTTATGACACCATGGAATTGATAGTCCCACATAAAGGGATCATACTTGTCATATGCTTAGCCTTCTTCTTTCTTTTTATGTGCCATGCCCTTCAGGGCGTGGGCGATCATGGCTCTCCACCTCCCCCTACTCTGTGTAATCTGGCTTACTTCGGATTTAGGGAACTAATGAGACTTTATTTACTCGATAAAAACAAGCCAGGAAAATGAAGAAATTGTTTTCCTCTTTCTTTTGTCTTATTTTAATTGAAACACAAAGTTGCTATTCTCAAGGGTCTAAGGGAGGGATGGTCACTATGGAATCTCAGAAGTCCCCACCACCTAAAGTGACTTCGTCTTGCCCCCCATCCCACTAACCTAACCAACAACAGTGCATTTGGTCCCTAAACATTTTTTAAGCATTTCACCCCAAGCAAGGCGAGATGCCACTAGTACGTAGTGGGGTTACAGAGTGGGAGCGAGAATAAAGAGTTGTGATGGAGGAAAGGATAAAGAGAAGAACAGGTGATTGTTCAGGGCATCTGGAGATGTCGATTGACATTACATTTGAATAGTTAGAGATTATAGCTATCAGGGAAACAAAAAATAAAAAGGGAATTCCATTTTGACAGGAGGTGCGAGACATGAACCTATTGGAGTAGAAGAGACGGACACATTTAACCGTTTCGACAGTGAAAGGATGGGACCGTGATGCCAGCCTAGTAGCACGCTTAAAGTCATCCAGTCTGGGAACCAGCGAAAGTAGCTCGTCGGAGCAGTTACCGTGAAAGTATTTGTAGAAAAGACAGAGGGAGGTGACGGCACGTCTGTGAGAGAGTGACTGAAGACGAGATGCCAGATCACGACCAACCACATTGCATATATATCTCTGAGTATTGTTGAGTACCTTAAGACGAACAGCGGGGGATCCAGACTATACATGGCAACAGAATTCCATGCAAGGGCGAATTTGTAGATTTGAAGGCTGGACTCAGGCGGATAAAACATTTTGGCGCAAGACAAGGAACCAACTTTCCTTGCAGTGGATGAAGCTATTGATTCAATGTAATTGTTCCAACTCAGGTCAGCGGACAGTGTGAGATCAAGCAGTCGTAAAGAGGTGCTCTCAAGGAGTTGAACATCAGACGTTCTAATGGACGGCAGGGAGGGTTCCCTGTGGTCAGTAATACAGAGCAGTTTTGCTTTAGAGGCATTAAAGTTAACCAGCCAATTTCTACCCCAGTACAGAACCGATTAGGGGTCCTTTTCGAGACTAACGGCCAGGTTACTTTTCTCAGCGATACCAGATTTGCTATTGAGGCAGGAGTAAATAGTAGTGTCGTCAGCATAGATGCCTACTTGGGAACTAATGACCTCAGGGAGATCGTCAATGAAGATAAGGAACAGAGTAAAGCCTAGGATAGAGCCTTGGGGAACACCTGCGTTCGTGGGAAAGGAACTTGAGGAGAATCCGTTAACGACAACCTTCATTATACGGTTTGACACGATGGAAGCGTGTTTTTAAAGTCAGCCCCACACTTTTCAATAAATGACCATTGATTCGAGATTAGCAAGATTTAATATGAAATTCCAATTGTAAGTACTAAGAATCGCTTTTCCCAAGGTGCTGTATGGATGCTTAGCCTAAATATACGTAAAGCCGCAGTAATGTAGTATTTGAAAAGAAAGACGAAATATGTTGGCAGTCTCCACTCTGCATATAATTGTGATACTATCATAGGTTATTTTAGCGGCCGCATACTGTTGAAAATCACAGCAATATCGAAAGTTCAGAAATATTAAAATTTGAAGGTGAATGTGCACTGGCCACACTCAATAGAAACAAAGCCGGAGGTCCAGACGGAATCAAAATAGAGATTCTAGCAACCTTAGAGGATTTCGGCATTGATAAAACAGTGGTGAAATACCGGAAAAACTAAGTTGATCCATTTTTATAGCACTGCCTAAGAAGCCAGGCGTGAACGAATGTAAGCTCTATCAGAGAATCAACCTAATGAGACAGATAACAAAAGTTATCATTCGAATTCTGATTACTAGAGCGTGGAACAGAATTAGACCGGAAAAAGGCTAAGAACAGTGCGGTTTCGTCCAAGACACTGGGATAAGGAATTCGATATTTATACTCAGAATGATGTCAGAAGGAGCAATACAAATACAGAAGAACGTGTTTTATATATTGTGCAAAATCTTTTGATGAAGTACATCTCAAAGAACTGTTGGAATTGCTAGGTATCCATGACATATTTAGGGGGGATATTAGAATAATCCAGAACCTATGGTGTCAACAAACCCACTGCATATGGATAGAAAATAAGTTCAGTGTAGAGTAATGGATTGCGGTTCGGATTGAGGAATCGGGGAGTCGAGTTCGAATTCTAGTTGAATCCATTACATTCACTTACGTACTAATACATTAAGCATGGCATGGATCTTCTTCTCCCCAGCTATGGGTAAATAGCAAGAAAGACCGAGTTCTATAACTTTGGATGGCAACTGGCTCACCGCAGATAGAAATGGCAACCTACCATGGAAAAAAATCTGCCTCGTCAGTCATGTATTGAAAGATACATGATCTCCTAAGCGTGTATCATGCATGGCACATAACTGACTGAAATTCACTTACGTGCTAATACCCTTGGGAAAGTTATGACTACTCTTCTTCTCTCCCCAGCTATAGGTAAATAGCAGGACAGACCAGGTTCTATAGCTTTGGATGGTAACTAGTCTATCGCAGAAAAAAATGGCAACTTATTGTGGAAAAAAATCTGCCTCGTCAGTCATGTATCGAAAGATACATGATCGCCTAGGCGTTTATCACGCATGGCACATAACCGACTGAAATTCACTTACGTGCTAATACACTTGGGAAAGGTATGAATCAAAATTGTTAGCTTAGCAGGACAGACCGGATTCTATAAACTTGGATGGCAACTGGTCTACGGCAGAAAGAAATGGCAACTTACTGAGGGAAAAATCTCCTTCGTCAGTTATATATCGAAAGATACATGATCGCCTAAGCGTATATCACGCGTGGCACATAACTGACTAGCTGACAATATACAAAAATAGAAAGTTCTGTAAGACTGTTATGGTAATTTACTCTCCCAGCTATAAATAGGAGCAGGTATTGCCTTTTGGGGGAGAGAAGTTTCCAGCAGTCAGCTCTGACAGTCGGACCGAACATTCTTGCTGTAACACACTCGTTTTATATGTTTGTTTTACTGTTTCTGTCAATATATTTGTTTAACTCAATTCCTCACTTGTGTCTTTATTTCCGGCCCCTAACAAGCCACAACAAATACAAGGATACGTCTTCTCACCGGACTTACTCAACCCATACTGTGACGCAATTCTGAGAGAATTAGGAGTCCTACAATAATTCATTATTAGCTGTATAATTTTAACAACATTAGCTATGCGTATGAAACAGTGTTGATAGCAAACATGGACATGGAACTACAAGAATTCCTACAGGAGGTAGTGAAGAAAAGCGGGAAGAAAGGACTAAACCCAAACTAAATAAGTACAACAATTTAATATCTTGAAAGTGTTTTAACAGAGGACGAAAAGTGTGACACTGAAATCCGAAAGCACATTAGATTAACGAAAGATGCCTTCCAAAAGCTAAGCAAAGTATTAAGAAACACACAAATTTCGTTAGATACAAAGTAAATAATACTGAATTTTATGCAATATCATTCCTCATATATGGTAGGGAAGGCTAGAAAATCTCCTCATAGACGACAAAAAGACTTGAAACAACAGAAATGTGGTTCTACAGAAGGTTACTGAGGAGGATACCATAAACTGAGCATGTGAGAAAAGACGGAGTTTTAGTGAAAATGGAAACAAAAAAGACTCATATACTTAGTATCAGGTAGAGACAGTTGAAATTTCTAGGGAATATAATGAGAAAAGTGGGCTTGGAAAATTTAGTACTTAGAGGATAGAAGAAAATAACGCATAACCCACCTAGCGAGATTGAATAAAAGGATGACATAAAAGGGTTTAGGATAGATAATAAAATAAAAACAAAATTATTAGGAGCTACAGAAGCCATGATATTGTGAAGAACCAAGAACGTCGTAAAGGGACACGGCAGGAAGAAGAAGAAGAAGAAGGAAGGAGGAGGAAAAGAAGAAGAAGGAGAAGAAGAACAAAAGGAAAGGAGGAAAAAAGAAGAAGAAGAAGAAGAAGAAAAAAAATTTCAGGAAGGAGGAGGAAAAGAAGAAAAAGAAGAAGGATAAAGAGAAGGAGGAAGAGAAGGAGGAGGAAGAAGGAGGAAGAGGAGGAAAAGAAGAACAAGAACAACAACAATAACAAGAAGGGGAAGAAAAGAACTAGAAGAAGAAGAAGGAGGAGGATGAGGAGGTAGAAGAAGAAGGAGGCGGAAAAGAAGAAGAAAAAGGAGGAGGAGGAAGGAGGAGGAAAAGAAGAACAAGAAGAAGGATAAAGAGAAGGAGGAAGAGAAGGAGGAGGAAGAAGGAGGAAGAGGAGGAAAAGAAGAACAAGAACAACAACAATAACAAGAAGGGGAAGAAAAGAACTAGAAGAAGAAGAAGAAGGAGGAGGAAGAAGAAGAAAGGAGGAAGAAGAAGACGAACAACAACAAGAGGAAGAAGAAGAAGAACTAGAAGAAGAAAAAGAAGAAGAAGAAGAAGAAGAAAAACTAGAAGAAGAAGAAGCAGATGATCATTTCCACTCCGCATTCCCCACAATGACTGATATTATGAACAGCCACATAGAAAGTAAAGATAGTTTTATCCAAATCTTAAGTGTCTTTGTTTGATAGACCAGCTGATACTGTTTTTTGTTCTCTTTCTTTTTAATCCAGGTGTTGTCTATCCACATTTCTTTAAAGAAAAAGCTAGTAAGGAAACGCCAACCAGAGCTGGAGAGAGCGATAACTTCTAGTGGGGACGGGAAACCTATTTTCGTTCAAATCTGTTTTAAGAGAACAATTTCATGAATTTCCACCCCAACAGTAAGGTTAACTTTTCAGTCGATTAATGCTGAATATTTCCTAATAAGGATAGCGCCAATAAAACAACATTACCGAATCTGTTGCATTCATTTTCACACCAAAAACCCTTGGAAAAGCGAAGAATCCAGCTATGGGTTAAATGGAATTACAGAATGGCCTTAATGCTGACAACCAATCTACAAGAATACAAAACCGTAATCTGAATTCCACACTCTGTACATAGTCCTGCCGTATCACATTGTATACAGCCATTGAAAATATTATTGAGTTGATAATTGAAACCATTACTGAGTTGACAATGGAAAACATTATTGAGTTCAAAATTGTAAACATTATGTTGTACGCAATTGAAAACATTATTGTGTTCACAACTGAAAACATTATTGAGTTCAAAAATGAAAAACATTATTGAGTTCAAAATGAAAACATTATAATACGCAATTGAAAAACATTATTGTGTTCACAACTGAAAACATTATTGAGTTCAAAATGAAAAACATTATGTTATACGCAATTGAAAGCATTATTGTGTTCATCAACTGAAAAACATTATTGAGTTCAAAAATGAAAACATTATTGAAATCAAAAAAAAAACATTATGTTATACGCAATTGAAAAATATTATTGTAGTTCAAAACTGAAAACATTATTGTGTTCACAACTGAAAACATTATTGAGTTCAAAAATGAAAACATTATTGAGTTCAAAAATGAAAACATTATGTTATACGCAATTGAAAGCATTATTGTGTTCACAACTGAAAACATTATTGAGTTCAAAAATGAAAACATTATTGAGTTCAAAAATGAAAACATTATGTTATACGCAATTGAAAACATTATTGTGTTCACAACTGAAAACATTATTGAGTTCAAAAATGAAAACATTATTGAGTTCAAAAATGAAAACATTATTGAGTTCAAAAATGAAAACATTATGTTATACGCAATTGAAAACATTATTGTGTTCACAACTGAAAACATTATTGAGTTCAAAAATGAAAACATTATTGAGTTCAAAAATGAAAACATTATGTTATACGCAATTGAAAACATTATTGTGTTCACAACTGAAAACATTATTGAGTTCAAAATTGAAAACATTATGGTGTACCCAATTGAAAGCATTATTGTGTTCACAACTGAAAACATTATTGAGTTCAAAATTGAAAATATTATGGTGTACGCAATTGAAAACTTTATTGAATTCAAAATTGAAAACATTATTTAGTTCAAAATTAAAACTTTATTGAGTTCACAATCGAAAACGTTATTGAGTTCACAATTGAAAACATTATTAAATTCCCAATTAACAATTGTAGCTTATTCCCCAACCCACAAAAAAAATCAATTATTTTCAGCTTGATTTTGAAGCAATCGATGGACAGTCTTCACTCGGCGCTTAAAGTATTCAACCTCTGCTCAAATATCGCTTAACCCATTTAACCCGAATTTGTCATGTGTCACGTCATAAAAATAGTGCATTTTTTCTTGCAAACCATAATTGTTTTTAAGTCCTCATAGGCTAACCGCTCTATTAAATATCATTTAGCTTTCATAATCTCGTCTTAATATCTTGGTAGCGTTCGTTTTTCTCAAATTATCGACAATGTTTATTGTCCTAATGCTCTAGCCGTATACGTTTGACCTTTTGCTAAATATAACTTAATTTAATAATAATCATTTTGACGCATGCGTATAATAAGTTTATTTAAAGTCATCTTTGTGTAGCAAAAAGAATTGCTTTGACTGGGTGAACTTAAGGATTTTGTTAGATTTTATATTTGGAAGTTTTTGATTGGTTTTAATCGAACAGACAATTAAATCGACCACGTTGCTGACAAATTTTAATTAGTTTCTTGAAATATTATAATAATCAGGAGAGTTTTTTGCAATTTGATTAAAATCCAGTCTTTTATTTTGAATGAAATCCAAAGACAGGAAAACTGCGAGAGATTTTGTTAGAAAGAAGGAATATGGGAATGTGAATTTAAAAGAAAAAAACAGAAGGCGACGGGGTGGGAGTAGAAGATGAAAAGATAAAGCATAAACAAGAAGAAAAAGAAGAAGAAGAAAGAGGAGGATGAGAAAGAAGAAAAAAGATGGAGAAGGAGACGATAAAAGATAAGGAAGGAGAAAGTAGGAAGAAGAAGGAGGATAAAGGAGGAGGAGAAAGAAGTAGAATGAGATAGAAGGAGGAGGAGGAGGCTAAAGAAGAAGCAGATTGGGGAAGAAAGAGGAGGAGGAGAAAGAAGTAGTAGAATGAAGGAAGAGGAGGAGGAGGCTAAAGAAAAAGTAGAATGGGGAAGAAGAAGGAGTGGAAGGAGAAAGCAGAAGTATAATGCGGAAGAAGAAGAAGAATGAGGAAGAGGAAGAAGAAGAAGATGAAGAAGATGTAGGAGAAAGAAGAAGTAGAATGAGGAAGAAGAAGAAGAAAAATGGTGGAGGAGGGCGGAGAAAAAGAAGAAGTAAAGATTTAAATGAAGAGAAACAATGGTAAAAAATGCAAAAAATTAAAGGCGAAGAAGAAGAAGAAGAAAGAAGGAGGAGGAGGAGGAGGAGGACGAGGAGGAGGAGGAGGAGGAGGACGAGGAGGAGGAGGACGAGGAGGAGGAGGAGAACGAGAAGTAGGAAGACGAGGAGGACGAGGAGGAGGAGGAGGAGGGCGAGAAGGAGGAGGAGGGGGACCAGGAAATGAGCAATATGACGAGGAAATGAACAATATGACGAGGAAATGAGCAATATGACGAGGAAGGCGTAAAAGGAAGAAAACAACAAAAAATAAGAAAGAAAGATGAAATAAAGAAAACCATGAAATATTATTTTACTATGAACACTGGGGCGCGCAGAGATCCAGCATATTTCTCCATGATTTTTAATATAGTGCAAAATGTATATAGGGACGAAAGAAGAAGAAGAAGAAGAAGAAGAAATAGGAAAAGTGATGAGTTTCACGTAGGAGGACCCCTCGTATCCCATCTCTTAAACCAACTTGAGGGATCTAATTTCCAACTTTCCAGTCTAAACCAAATCTTCTGTTTTTTTTTTTGTTTGTTTTTGTTTTTTTTTAAGCGTTTCACCCCAAGCAAGGCGGGAAGCCACTAGGATGCAAGGGGTTACAGAAAATTTAGAGCAAGATCAGATAGGAGTGATAGAAGAAAGGATGAGAAGGGTAGTGGATAGATCAAATCAACTGGAGATGTCGATTGACATTACACTTGAATAACTGGAGCTACTTTCGGAAATAACAGAGATGTGGTTCTACAAAGCAATGCCGAAAATAGCATTGATGGAGCTTGTAAGCAAAGTGGAAAATTTAAGATGAAGAAAAGATTTGAAACAACAAAGATGTGGTTCTAGAAAAGGATGACGAAAATACCATAGCGGGAGCTTGTAAGCAAAGTGGAAATTTTATGGTAAATAGAAAAAAAAATATGACTTATGTTTTGAATTACAAAGCAACAGCTGAAATTTCTAATGAGGAAAGAAGGCTTGGGAAATGTAAGACTCAAAGGACATATTAAAGGAAAGAGGGGTTCATAAAAATAATGAGAAACCAATCTGACGAGCGTGAGGAAATGGATAAAGCAACAAGGAGAAGAGGGGATAGTAAAAATGTAAACATTGCTGAGAGCGACAATTGTAACACTTTATAAATGGTTGGGATTAAACTTAGTTGAGTAAATATGTCGTCTATTTTAATCTAGATGGTACAAAGATCAGATGTTCCATTGTTATGGTAATGTGACGACAGATGTATAAGAGAATATTTGTGAGAAGAGAGTAGTGTTTTTCATCTGTACAGAAAGTGTCGTCAGGTTGGTACAGAGTGTGTCCGTCGCCTGACACGTCGAGTCACGGTCGCCCACTGGAACAGCAGTTCGAAAAATAAAAGTAGATTTTCTGCGCAAACACTGGATGATGTTATGTTAGGTGTATCCAAGTGAATCTTTCTCCGACTTCATCCTTTTGTGAGCATACCCCGACCGTGACAGCATTAGCCAACACCGACAAACTCTCCAAAAAAAAAAACCCCAATGAAACGTAACGTGGGGTCGTCTGCTTGTTTAGCGAATCTGTAGGGACGATAGTGTATGATGATACAAAGAGTAGGAACTTGTGGGAAGTCATGATCACCCATGAACGCCATTGTCACCATATAAGAAAAATATATTCAGGCTAACACAATTCTTACATTTTGAGACAAGAGAGAGACACATTTGATAAGCCCTAATGTATTATTGTCGAACTTCGACCCTCAATAGTTTTACATATTCAATATTAATACGAACGCAGCTGTTGATTCCAATTTAGATATTTATTTGTACGTTGGTACAAAATGTGGAACAAGGCCAAAAAATGGATTGGGGAAAAGGACGGTCTTCTGTCTTAATTCTTAACTCAGCTAGCCACAAACACCGACACAAACATACCAACAATAGTCCTAACACCAAAACAACACATTCTCTCCTAACATGATTTTCCAAGAATAATGTCGAAATTTAGCTTAGTAACAGCCAAACTCGGCGCAAAAAAGGTTGGGAAACTTTGTCATTACGTCCAATGACGGGAATCCCGTGTAACACAGTTAACAGAGACCTGAAACCATCAATATACAACCATAAAAAGCGAGATAAAGAAGAAAGAAAAACCACTTGAAATAGCTATAAAATTTATTGAGGGAAAAGAAAAAATAAAATGAGGGGGGAAAATAGTCTGATGTTAAAGTTCACTGGTACAACTTGAAAATAACTGCCAAAAACGTCCTTTGTCGAGCCCTTTTCAAAGGACTCCAATAACAGTTCAGAGAGAATGAAAGAGGTAGAGATAGCAGAAAAAAGAGGAAAAAATTAGACTTACTGTTCAAAAAAAAATTAGCTTTAGTATTTTTTTAAGTAGCTGGGCAAAAAGGTTTTTAGATATTTTTTGAGTTGCTCTCTTTGGAAGATAAGCAAGCTTCTCTGCGACACAAATTCAACTTCTAGAGACGACTTAGAAGATCTTTTTTTCACATGCTTTTTTTCACGTCAGAATTTCGTCCACTAATAGGACAAAATAACTCCTCGAAGGAAGGTAGCTTTTCAATCGCTTAATTTTGACTTTTTTTCTCTCTTCGACCCGATTGTCGAAAGAAGACTTCCTTGAGAATGTTCTATTGTAAATTCTCTTTAAATAATTTCTTTAACTGATTTTTTTAGATAAGTCTTTACTGACTTGTTCTTTGGTTCTGAACAATAATCCACTTGGTTATTTGAACAGACTTGACTTCACTTGTCTAGAGAATAAAAAAAACGGCGAACACACTTGTTCTTTATCTTCAATTCTCTTAGACAAATATTCTTGACTGGTCTTTTTATTACTGTTTTCCTTGTCAGAGCAACAACAGGTTATCTTCAAGCAGGTTTCCTTTTCGTCGCAAAGACAAGACGACTTATCGTCGTCTCCACACTGCGGCGCCCTTTTTTGCTACTACTGACTAGATTCATTTAATCTACTCGAAAACAAGCGGAAAATCCCAGTACGACTAATCGTTAGACACGATTTCGCCATTTTGTTTAGCAGCAGCAGTTCTTACACTGCACACAGGGGGAAAAGGAGAGGAGGAAGGAAAGTAAGAGAGATAGAAAGATAGATACAGAAATCAAATTTCTGACAATAGCTTAGATGTGGCACAAGGCCGAAAGTAGGGGGCAACCAGTGAGGATCGAACTCACTATAACTATAATTGTTATAACTATAATTGTTCTTGCGAGACAAGCTTGCTAACCATTGCACCACCTCAAGGTACCAATCTGCAAATGGGAATGACTGCAAAATATCTTTCCCTACCCCATTTTATAGGCAGACACACACCAATGCATGCTGGGATTTCTTTCTATCCAATAAAATATGCCGGTTCTCGGTTTCGTCTGACGCAGTACCGCTTCACTGCCAGGCTTTATTTTTAAATTTCGGCAATACACGATAATATGTTTTGAGCGTGTGTTATTTACTGGGGAGTGTTATGGACAGATTAATCTCACGTTTTCTTCGACATCTTGTTACAAATTGATAGCCGTTAAGGCAGTTTCTTTCACTTGCTTTACGTGATTGCCGACTGTAGCGACACCGAATAAACAATATGGCTTCCGTTTTCGAAAGATCAGATTGCATGGCGAAATGCCTGCATCCTTTCTATGTTACTTGTTCACGCCAATTCTTTATGTACTTTTTCGATTTATATATATATATATATATATATATATATATATATATATATATTATCTGAATGTTTCTGGGTGTTTTTATTTATTTTATATCTAATGTTATTTTTATTCTTCCGTTTTTTTTTCTTTTTTTGCCTGTTCTCATTAAAAAAAATTACTCCATTTTGTATTCTATTTTTTAAACTTCTGTTGTCGGGACCGGAGAAAAAGTTTCTTATATCTGGGTTTCTCTTATATCCGGGTTTGATTTATTTTATATACATTAACACAGGCTCTAATTTGGGACGAGAGAAAATCTCTCTTATATCCGGGTTTCTCTTATATCCGGGTCACTTATATCCGGGTTACACTGTATTATACAATAATTGTAGTTGTCCCTACGTTTGTTAGTTCAAAGGACGATTACGCCCTGCCAATACTTCCCCAAAAATAAACTATTCCGTTTTACAAAAGACATATCAATACGCTACTTGGTTTCAGTAAAATATGAAAGGACAAAAGATAGAAGTGTTTAAAGTCTCCTGCTCATTTCCCTTAAACAATGGACTATTCCTTTTTGATCGCGTTGAAAGACAATAGGCATACAAAAAAAACACTACTTCGTTTCAGTGAAAAAAAAAGATAAAAATGTTTAACCTCTCTTTCTAATACCTCATGAATAATTGACTATTTCGTTTTAACCCTAGAACACTAACCATGGGTACATAGTACCCAGTGCAAATTTTCCTATTTTTAATTACAATTTTCAGTACCTGATTTTCTTACCTAAATAATGTTTTTCAGTTCCTATTAATGTTAACTCAAAGTACAAAGTTTGAAGTGCGTGCATGTAAAATATTTCAAATAAAGATTTATATTTAATATTTTTTTTTGATATTTTCAAAATCGGGTATGATATACCCATGGTTAGTAGTGGTGTGACTTTAATTGATGGTTAGTGTTCTCGGCTTAATCACAAAGACAGAAGGCATATTAAAGTCGTTACTTGGTTTTAGTCATAAGAAAGAAAGAAAGAAAGAAAGAAGTGTTTAACGCCTGTTTCTGTGAAATGGAAAAAATTCAATTTCAAAATTTTTCATTCGTACCCACTTCTTCCAATAACGACCAGTACCGTGTTTATGACTGTTATTTCAATGTTTTGTTAAAATTTTAATCTCGAATATTTAACGATACGATAAGAGAATTTCTACGGATAATTTATTGTCGTAGAACTTGTCAAGAGCTTAGTCAATCGTTAAATTCAGAATTAAGATTTATCAAAAGATAAGAATTAAAATTCATGTGAATATTCAAATAAGAAAACCGTGAAATTTTCATGAGTAAAACTAATCATATAATAATTTCTTGTCTTCTTTCGTTAGTACCCGTCCTGGGTAAGACACTTACCTGGCACAGGGCTCGTCCCTGGGCTGGTGGTATCACGGCTAGGACTATCTTGGACTGGCTCCGGCCTGGACCAGCTAGAACAAGCCGAGACCAGCTATGATTAGCTTAGACCAGCTCTGACCAGCTTTGACCAGCGGCCCGAGTGAAAACATTCGGGTCCCCACGTTAAAAACTGACCTTGTGTCACAACCTGACTCAGTGGGGAGTCAAGTAAATATCTACCCGTCCTGGGGACAATAAACTACGTCAAACAGCAAGGCTTCTGATCAAGAGGATTTGAGGAGCGTGGAACCACATTTTAATTGCTGCTGTTCCCAGGCCCACCCAACCCGGGGTGGTAACATCCGTTAGGGTCCTAGCTATGGTCAAATAGTTAGCCCACAAACTGAAGTCAACACACTATGAAAGTGTAAAAATAGGTTTTGATACCAGAAATACGTTATAAAAACTTATTACCAGAAACAAATTTTTGAAGGAAAATATTACTACCAGAGATACTTTAAAAAATTACCAACAATACATGTTTGAACAAAATGATCTATTAACAGTTACATATTTTTTGAAAAAAATATTACAAGCAACATATATTTTAAGGAGAAAAAAAATATTACCAGCAATACATTTTTGGAAAAATATTACCGGTAATAAAAATTTGCCGGCATTAAATAACCCATTGAGGTTGATATGCCGTAAAAGAAAACAAACCAAACCAATATATACTGGGATAGATAGATAGATAGATAGATAGATAGATAGATAGATAGATAGATAGATATGAATTGACTGATAGATATATATGAATTGACTAAGATAGATAGATAGATATGAATTGACTGATAGATAGATATGAATTGACTAAAATAGATAGATAGATATGAATTGACTAAAATAGATAGATAGATATGAAATTGAAATAAGATAGATAGATAGATATGAATTGATTTTTTTTAGATAGATAGATAGATGATAGATAGATAGATATGAAATGACTAAGGTAGATAGATAGATAGATAGATATGAATTGACTAAGGTAGATAGATAGATAGATAGATAGATATGAATTGACTAAGATAGATAGATAGATAGATAGATAGATAGATAGATATGAATTGACTAAGATAGATAGATAGATAGATAGATATGAATTGACTAAGGTAGATAGATAGATAGATAGATAGATAGATAGATAAATAGACTGAAATTGACTGACTGATAGATAGATGGATAGATATATAGATAGATAGATATGAATTGACTAAGATAGATAGATGGATATGAATTGACTAAGATAGATAGATAGATATGATTGATAAGATAGATAGATAGATAGATAGATTGATTAGATAGATAGATAGATATGAATGGATTTGATATTTTAGGATAGATAGATTTTCTAGATGGATAGATATGAAAGATGAGATAGATAGATAGATAGATAGATAGATATGAATTGAAATAAGATAGATAGATAGATGGATAGATATGGATATGATTGACTAAGATGGATAGATAGATAGATAGATAGATAGATGGAATTGAATGTGGATATGCATGGAGAATAGATAGATGGATGGATGGATAGATGGATAGATAGATGGATAAGAATTGACTAAGATAGATAGATGGATGTGGATTGACTAAGATAGATAGATGGATAGATGGATAGATGGATGGATAGATAGATATGATGTGACCAATTTTGGATAGATAGATAGATAGATGGATAGATGGATAGATGGATGGATATGAATTGACTAAGATAGATAGATGGATAGATAGATAGATGGATATGGGATTGACTAAGATAGATAGATGGATGGATAGATAGATAGATAGATAGATAGATGAAAAACCGACTAAGATAGATGGATATATTTTAGATAGATAGATAGATAGATAGATAGATGTGAATTGACTAAGATAGATAGATAGATAGATAGATAGATAGATAGATAGATAGATAGATAGATATGAATTGACTAAGATAGATAGATGGATAGATAGATATGAATTGATTCTCTTTCCCGTAGATAGATAGATAGATAGATAGATATGAATTGACTAAGATAGATAGATAGATAGATATAGATAGATGTGAATTGACTAAGATAGATAGATAGATAGATGTCCTTCGATGAATTGACTAAGATAGATGAGATAGATAGATAGATAGATATAATTGACTAAGATATCGGATAGATAGATAGATAGATCGATAATTAGATAGATATGAATTGACTAAGATAGATAGATAGATAGATAGATATATTTAGATTTCATATATGGATTTGGATTGACTAAGATAGATAGATAGATATGAATTGACTAAAGATAGATAGATTAGATAGATAGATAGATAGATAGATGTGAATTGACTAAGATAGATAGATAGATATGAAATTGACTAAGATAGATAGGATAGATAGATAGATAGATAGATAGATAGATATGAAATATATATAAGATAGATATATAGATAGATAGATAGATAGATAGATAGATAGATAGATAGATAGATATTAACAGCAACAAAAAAAAACTTTTTTTTTATAGCTTTTTATTTAATTGAGTTCATCTCATTCTAGGCACTAAAGTCAATGAGACAAAAGGAAGTGTTAGAAAGAAAACAAAACAAAAGTTGACGGAAACCTCAACTGCGAAAAAATGGTGTAATCTTCTGCCAGACAACAAAGAAGTTTTTCAGCATAACGGTAAACCTTGCTACATATCACGGCCAACAAAAAGATTTTTTGCGGATGAAGATGTTCAACTTTTGGGGAACTGGTCAGTACAAAGCCCTGATCACAATATAAGTAAAACATTGTGGTGGAAACTGAATAAATAAGTGCTCCAAAGAAAACTCATCAATAGCCAAGTTTTGGGAGTTACGACCAACAAGTACAGAAATATTTTTTTCTAACACTTCCACTGAGTGTGGAAGTGTTAGAAAGAAAAAGTGCTAAGGACTGAGTACAGAATAATAACAATCAGGAAAACTTTAGATAGCGATTGACTTGCATTTATATTTTTGGAGATTAAAGTTGGCGGGAAAACATGGGATCAAAAAGGAGTACCACAAGTGAGAAGGTGCGAGTAAAGAAACTCTTAACATAGAACTTGCGGTTACACCTTGCTAAGTTAACTGTAAACACGTCGCTAGTCTAGTACAGCGTTAATATTCATAAAGTGAGGGTACCATAGCGAATAGCCGCTATTTACTTGACCCCCACCCAACAAGATAGGATGTAGCACAAGGACGTTTTTATGTGTGGCAATCCAAGCCCGTAGGCTCAGGCAAAAATTCCCCGTTGATCCCGCATCCACAGGGTCAGGTTTGTCTACCTTCCCAGACGACGAGACTCTGCCCGTAGGCATCGACCAGTCTGGGTTCCTCATTGCCCGAAGGCAAAGAATTCTACAGAGAGTTCTTCAGGATGGACGATATTTATTTGCACTTATTTACAAAAATGTGACACAAGGCCAAAACGGGGAATGTGGAAAAGGACGGTCTTCATCTGCCTTAACTTTAAACTTAGCTAGCCACAGACACTGGGCCAAACATACCACAATATTGCTCACACCAAAACAACGCATTCTTACTTACTTTTCTTACTTCATCCACCATAATACCACATTGTCTCTATGAAAATCCTAAATAGTCCCCGTATGTATAATTCATTGTTTGTGGGGGTGGGGAAATAAAACAACAAATTTAAAAATTTAAATCCCAATGAATATTTACAAAAATGTACAAAACTATTTACAAGAAACTAAACCAAAGAATGTTACTAATAAAAAACACCCCACAATCCCTAAATGTGGGAGAACCATCAGTTAACTGGACGAAATCGATGCGGGACTTTAATAATAAAAAGACATTTATTCATCCCAAGCATTCACTCGACCAGACACTCATTCAGACACAAAAATAAATACGAAAATCACACCCGAAACGAAAGGGACCCCCATCCATCAGAGGACTGACATCACTAACCACCTAACGTGGGAGGTGATAGGGAATTAAACCAAAGAAAAATGGGGAAGAGCTTATTCGAACATTACCATGGAAGTATTTATAGTTGCCATGGAAGTTTTTATTGAAAACGCACAGAGTGGCGGGAAAGTGATTGAGGCCAAGATGACAGTTCAGGACCGATAATATTCCATCTGTTATTGTTTTCTTTTTCATTCTTTTGTATTTTTTTTATGCCTTTTTTTTTTAACTTTTCATTTTCTGTCTTTCTTTGCATTTATTATTAATTCTTTCAATATTTATTTTCTTTTTTTCATTCTTTTTACTTACTTTCTTTTTTATTTCTGTAGTATTCTTTCTTTCTCTCATTCTTCCTATTTCTTTTTGCTTTTTTTTTACTTCAGTCAGTCAGTTATGTACCATGCGGTACACACGCTTAGGCGATCATGTATCTTTCGATATATGACTGACGAGGCAGATTTTTTCACGCAGTAGGTTGCCATTTCTTTCTGTAGTAGACAAGTTGCCATCCAAGGCTATAGATCCCGGTCTGTCCTGCTATTTATCCTCTTCCCCTCATAGCTGGTGGGGAGATTAAGAGGATTTATTAGCATGTAATTGAATGTAATGGACTCGACTAGAATTCGAACTCGGTTCTCCGATTCTTCAATCCGAGCCGCTATCCATTACTCTATCGTGACTTTTACTTCTATTTCTTACTAGCAGCATGGCCCGGCGTTGCCCGTGCTTGATTCAAAAATTGTACGACTCATACAGCAATCGCTATCACTTGACTTAAAATATTTTTGCCCTTCCTTGCCTTTAAAGGAGTGCCCTTTGCTGTGCTGATATTGCTACATGCCTTACTTCTTGCCTATCTCACACTGCGAATTTTTTTAAGCTCTATACTAAACATTAAATCTGTTACGAAAAAAGAACTAAACAAAATGAACACAAAACGATCAGCTTTAAAAAAAAGGACTCGTAACTGGAAAAACCGAATGAAAAAAGAATGTTAACAACAAATACTTTTTCACACGCAACCCAGTTCTGCGGAATCAGAATCAACGTTGAGTTTAGGCAAGCGAATGAGCCAAGTGGAGTGCCATGCAGATTTAAATTTTTCCCACTTGTGACGAATGCAGTTATCGATTTTTTTTTTTGCATGCTAGCATGCTAGTTAACATTCGTGTCAGTCAGTTGTTGGCTCTCACACTCTTCCTGCCTATTCGTGGCAGCCAGCTATACGCTCTCACACTGGCCAGTAGAAAATGACCGCAAACTACATGAAAACTGCCATAGAAGCATGAAAAAAATCGATTATTTCCACTATCGATGGGAGTTGGGAAATGCAAAATCGGTCTTGGCCTTCCTGCTAACTTGGAGCATGTGCATGTAAATTTTGGTGCAAATCCGTCGAAAATTGCGGCCGTGCACACATACACTCACATACACACACACACACACACACACCCTGCCTTTTATAGATAGAGATTATTCATGTTTTCTTTCTTTATTTTTCCTTTCTTACTTTTTTATACTTTCTTTTCTTTTTCCTTTCTTTCCTATTTCTTCTTTCCATTTTTCTTTTTCTTTCTTTACTTTTTAGTATTTCTTTCTCTCCCTATCTTTTTAATTACTTCTACACTTTTCTTTCTTTCTTTCTTTCTTTCTTTTTTCTTTCCTTTTTATTTAATAGTTCTATTTTTCTTTTTCTTTATTCTTTTTTTTTCCCTTTTTATCCTTAATTTGTTTGTCGGCTTCTTTCATTCTCAAACTTAAACTTTTTTCTCTTCGTTTTTTTTTTTTTTTCTCTGTCCGGTTTAATGTCTTTCCACCTTAATTTCCATTTTAAAGCCTTTTTCCAATTTTATTTTAGTCTCTTTGTCGGTTACATCGCATAAACTAATGTTACATTTCATTTTCAAAAATAAAAAAATTCCTTTGATCCATCTAAACTATGACGCCATTACTTTGAAATGTCTCAATTTAAACGCGCCAAAATACACGTCTGTGTTGCAATATTATTGTACCCCTGGCACTTACTGAAATCTGCAGAATGATTTTTAAACATTTCGCCCCAACCAAGGCGGGAGTTCCACTAGCACGCAAGAGGCTAAAGAGCTAGTAAAGAGAATAACATAGGTGCCAAGGCGGATCCTTGTCTTAGTCAGGACTGGAAATTACTAGCACTCAAGGGGTTACAGAGAGTGAGAGTATGAGTAAAGAGGATTGTTTAAGGAAAGGATATAGAGAAGTACGGGAATCAGGATCAATGCATTAGAAGATGTCTATTGACATTACATTTGAATATTTGAAGATTATAGCTATCAGGGATGCGAGTAAGAGGAAGGTAGTTCCACTGTAGGGAAGTGTGTGAGAAGACGCTATTGAAGTACAAGAGACGGTTGCATTTAACTGTTTTGACAGTGAGAGGGTGGTAGCGAGATGCCGATCTAGTAGCACTCTTAAATTCATGCAGAGGAGGTAACTTTGAATGTAGCTCGTCAAAGCAGTTGCATGAAGACATCTCTAGAAAAGACAGACGAAAGCCACATCACGTCTGTGGGAAAGTGACTTTAGACGAGTTGCAAGATCAGGACTTATCACATTGCATATCCGTCTTGGGATTTTAGGACCTCGAGATGAACCGCGGAGGCGCTAGATCATATATGACAACAGCAAGGACGACTGGTAGATTTGAAGGATAGACTCAGTCGAGAAAAACCTTCTGGAGCGACACAGAGAAGCAACTTTCCTTGCGGTAGATGAAGCTGTTGGTTCAATGTAGTTGTTCCCTCTCAGGTCAGTGGAAAACGTAAGACCAAGGAGGTGAAGAGAGACGCTCTGTTGGAGTTGGACATCAGTCATATTGTCATGAGGACTCTATCTCACATGTCTAGAGGATTTAATTTTTGGTGGATAACTTTAGCCTTGTACCAGACTATGGTAGATAAGAGGTGTTTTTGTTTGTTTTTTTTTTGTTTCGTTTTTTTTTTTTGTTTCGTTTTTTTTTTTTTTACGGTTTAGAAAACTTATTATATTTAAAACCCAACAATATTTTTGGATTGTAAGAATAATTTTCATTTTTTTTTTCATTGATATTGTTTTGAGAATAAAAAAAAGCCATACTTTTTAACCCATAAGTTGGGGAAGGATTGGAATTCGTATTTTTTCTCGATAGTATGTGCTTTTTGATTGATCGACTGAATTTTTTTTACGGATTATCAACCATTTGCAGGTTATTTATAGCCAGAAAATATGTTTCGATTGAAAGAAATTTTGGGAGATTTTTTTAGAGCGTTGACAAGTCGTAGAAAATGAATCAATAAAAAGGCGCAAATACTATCGGAAAATATATGAATTCACCACTTCTCCCCCAGCTATGGGTTAATTAGTAGGATTTAAAATCATTATAATCCCCAACATATTCTTGCAATGTAAAAATATTATCTGACGTCAAATAAAATGCAAAATATTTCTTTCTTTTTATCCCCCGTTCCTCTTCAGGACGTAGACGATCACGGCTATCCAGTTCCACTTGTAGCTCTCAATAAGTTTTGTTCCTTTGCTACTTCTCCTACGCCATGTTATGTCATCCACTTCCTTAAGCCCACTAGATATGTCACGCGTTGCTTTCCATTGTCTCTCATTCCCTTTATTCTCCCTGTGAGAGGGGAATTAATAGGAGATAACTGACATCCATTAGACATGGCACGTGGAACTAGAACAGTCTACCCCAGCAAGCGAAATAAAGGGTTCAATTCGACATTCCAACCACCTGAAGAAGGCTGAAGCGTACAACGGCCGAAACATGGTGATAAATGTGGCAACATAGATGAGGATGATAGTCTGAACAATGTAAATAGTGTAATCAATTACTGTTCAAACATAACTACTCAATTTCTATACTGTTCAAACTGAATTTAATTATTGCCGTATTCCGATTATCTTTGGGATTGCTCTATGTTAAATAACAAGGAAGACTGCAGTCTTTGGTCTTCGATGAGAGCCGGTTTAGTCGGAGAACTCCGAGTTTAAAATCGTGAAACCAACGGGAAACCATACAATTGTGTTACAATTCACAGATAATAAAGGAAAGAATGTGAGGAGACCCACGATTTACGACGTAAGGGTCGAGTGATTTTGGAAAAAAAAGTGGGAGGGGGCAATAATATAGATATGTAGCATTGGTTGTCAGTTAATCTAAGAAAATGACAACTCCGAATTTAAAACCGTTAAGAAGATAACAGTAAGCCACTCTACTCTCTTACCCAAAATTCTGGTGGCACTACACAAAGAAAGGAAATCTGTGGAGAATCATGAACGCACACTATCCAAAGGGACGTACTATTTAAAAAAAAAAAGTTAAATAGAATATTAGCCTCGGTTCTGTACCATAAGGTGGTAGGTAGCCTAAGGAAATTACAGTGGAACCTCGGCTTACGAATTTATTTCGTTCCTGAAGCCCGTTCGTAACCCGAAATGTTCGTAAACCGAAACTATTTTCCATTAGGAATCAATGTAAAATGGATTAATCTGTTTCTGCTCCCAAGATGATTGCTTATTTAAACTTTTACAAACGTGCTTTGTGCACAAGTTTACATACAAAACTAATGAAAATCATTAAATCTAAGAAAAAATAAATAAACCCAATACTAAACAGATAATATATAGACGAACACTTTAATTTTACTGTACCTGTAAGTAGGGGAGCTGATGGCGTAAGTGGAAGGGGAAGGAAAGAGATGTTATTGTTTGGAAAGGGGGAGGAAAGATATAATTGTCTCTTTATTTATAAGAATAGTATACATCGTTTATTTTGCCATACTAAACTGAGTCGGAAGAGACAATATCAACAATTGTTTTTCTCGCAACTATTCTTTTTCCTTTATCAGTATCAATGCTAGTTTTCTTTGGAGCCATGACTGGGGACTAATGAAGAGAAAAATACAAGTACAATAAAATTGGAAAAGGAAAGCATTGCACAACACACGAATTTATATAAAATGGCGATGGACTCAGAAATGATTTCGTTCGGGTTAACTCGGTTTGGCTCTGTTCGGCAATGTTCGAGAACCGAAATTTTGTTCGATAACCGGGGTATTTTCCTCTCGAATTTTCTGTTCAAAAACCGTTTTCTCCGACATGTGAAACGTTCGAGAACCGAGGTTGTTCATATAGACAAAAACGTTTACTCACTACGAAGATGCGACTTGGTTTCGGTGCATTTCAATTGCACCTCGACTGGTGAGAACCAAAAATGGTTATAAACAATTCTACTTGTAAGCAAGCCGCATGTGAAACGTCACTTCCTTTTTTCCGTTTGTTTGGGAAAATATATACATAAGAGGAAGTAGTGAGTAAACTGTTTTTGTCTATATGAAAAAATTATAATAAATAATTATTGCTCTAATATCGGTTTCAGCCCTCTTTTGAATTAATGCTGTGAACGTTTGAATTTATATATTATTTTCGTTCTCATTGCATCGGATATATATATATATATTGGATAATGCTTACAAAGAAATACTATTTAGTGAAAGACGTAAAAAGAAAGTACAGTACAATAAAATTGGAATACAACATGGCGGTCGACTAAGAAATGATTCCGTTCGGATTAACTCGGATCGGCTCGGTTCCGCTCGGTTCGTCAATGTTGTTCGAGAACTGAAATTTTGTTTGATAACCGAGGTATTTTCATCTCGAATATTCTGTTCGAAAACCAATTTGTTCGCCAATTTCTTTCGAGACCCGAGGTTGCACTGTACAATGGAAAACCGTAGAGAAAGGAAAACCAGTCTACAATCATGCCCATAATGTCATGGTAAATTACAAGTAAATAAAAATAGAATCAGTGGAGAGTCGTAAACGACTACGTCCTGAAGAGACATGTCCTCTAAAAGAAAACGGTTCATAGACTTGTAGCCTAGGCTCTCTTGTCGAATTCAAAACCATAGAGATGAAACAGGAAACCACGTCACTCTCTTACCCACCTCCGACCAAAGTCATACCAATTCACAGATAATGAAGAAAACGAAAAGGTGGAGAGCTATAAACACAATAGGAAGATATTTTATTTCGTCAAACCAGATAACTGGCGATAAATGCATTGCCATATTTGTCGGTTTTTTTTTTTTATTTTATTTATTTATTTATTCTTTGACAACAGACAATAATGGCAAACATGACGTCAGAATTCATAATCTCTCTTTGGTCGCAAAACTTTATGCATACGTTATGCAGCAGGCATTTTCAACTTTATGCTTCCCAAGAGTAAAGCGTGTAGGTCCCCAGCATGTCGAACGGTTCTTTTTAATAAGAGGGCACAACTTTGAACAAAAGCAGAAGTAACTCCAAAGAAAATGAAAAAAACTCAATCTAACATGCCTTGATAATGCATTACCACCAAATTTTCGACGCCTGTCATTTTATGTGAGCGTGTTCATGAGTTAGGAAAAAAAGAAAGAAACAGAGAGAGAGAGGGGGGGAGAAAGAGAGGGAGAGAAAGCCATAAAAACTGCAGTAAAAGATTTTTATTTTTCAAATACGAAAGAAACAAATGAAGAAAAAAAAAAAGAAATCCTTTATTCCATAGCCACGAGCAACCAACAGAACACAAATTAAAAATGGAAAATCATAAAATAAAAATATATTTTTGATAAAAAAAAACACACACACACAGCAACCCAATAAAGACTAAATAAACGAATGAAAAGCGGTGCTTCACTGAACGAAAAAGAATTTGACTTTCCCTTAAAATCACAGATATTGTTTTATTTTATTTCATTTTATTATTAACTTGAATAAGAAACGACAGTGTATAATTTAGCTAAAAACATTTTGATGCGCTGTGGAAGAATGGCCTTAATTCTCTCAGATCAACCGCCTCCCCCTTCATTTTATTTTTTTTACAAAAAGGAATGGAAATGCATTTACATCGGCACACTCATGAATATTCATCTTACCTGGATAAGAGTGGGACGGGCGGAAGGAAAGCAGGTTGACGATCACAGCGCCAGCTGGTGACTGCTGGCAGAATTAGGCCTATTCACGCAGTGTTTCTATCAAACGATACTTTATTGTGGCGTTTGCAGTATTTCGTCTAAAGCAGCTATACGGAAAGGGATAGGTAGACTGAAGCAAATAGAATAGAATAGAATAGATATATAGATAGATAGATAGATAGATAGATAGATAGATAGATATAAATAGACTGAGATAAGATAGATAGATAGATAGATAGATAGATAGATTTGAATATACTGAGTAAGATAGATAGATAGATAGATAGATAGATAGATAGATAGATAGATATGAATAGACTTATATAGACTGAGATAGATAGATAGGTAGATAGATAGATAGATATGAATAGACTGAGATAGATAGATAGATAGATAGATAGATAGATAGATAGATAGATAGATTACAAAATACTGATATAGATAGATAGATTTGAATATACTGAACAAGATAGATAGATAGATAGATTACAAAATACTGAGATAGATAGATAGATAGATAGATAGATAGATAGATAGATAGATAGATAGATAGATTTCAATATGCGGAACAAGATAGATAGATTTGAATATATTGAGTATGATTGATAAATAGATAGATTTATAGTGAGCAAGATATATTTGCATACAGTGAGCAAGATAGATAGATAGATAGATAGATAGATAGATAGATAGATAGATAGATAGATAGATAGATTTGAATATACTGAGCAAGATAGATAGATAGATAGATAGATAGATAGATAGATAGATAGATAGATATGAACAGTGAAAGAGATAGATTTGAATATATTGAGCATAGCATGATAGATATATTAATAGGTAAATAGATTTGAATATATTGGGAAAAGTAGATTTGAATATACTGAGGAAGATAGATATATAGGTTGATAGATAGTTTTGAATTTACATCTATGATAGATAGATCTGGATCGAACATCTATCTGTATATCTATCTATCTTTTATATATATATATATATATATATATATATATATATATATATATATATATATATATATATATATATATATATATATATATATATATATATATATATATATATATATATATATATATATATATTTAGTTTTGTTTTCCCTGTGACGAGTGACGATTCATGTGTATCCGCTTTAAGTAAACTACTGCGAATAGAGCAAACAGAATTTTTTCAGAGATAAAGAGCCAAAGATTGACACAGAGATTCAGAGAGAGCGAGAGAGAAAGAGAAATTACGCAGCCCCAAGATATTATTTTTTTCTAAACAGCGTAGAACATGTCACAAAAAAAGCTATCAGTCTAGTTTAGCTTTTATCGATCCAAACGTGGCTTGTCAGGTACCTTGCTGAAATCTAATATCGCTTTTCTGACTATGATCAGATCCTCTATTGGGTTTCCATAAATTTATCGATCCAAACGTGTCTTGTCAGGTACCTTGCTGAAATCTAATATCACTTTTCTAACTATGATCAGATCCTCTATTGGTTTTCCATCAATTTTCGTGTGTGTGTGTGTGTGTGTGTGTGTGTGTTAAATTACCAGGGTTTTTTACGGTCATCAGCTTATAGGCGTTTACTTGTTCGTTAAAGATATATATTTTCGTTTCATGGTTCAGGGAGTTTTTTTTTATGCGTTTGGTTGAAGTGGAGATATGATTGTCGTTTCATTTTCAGGAATGTTTCTTTTTATGCGTTTGGTTGAATTGGAGAAATCATTGTCGTTTCATGTTTCAGGAATGTTCCTTTTTATGCGTTTGGTTCAAGTGGAGATATCATTGTCATTCCATTTTCAGGAATGTTTCTTTTTATGCGTTTGGTTCAAGTGGAGATATCATTGTCGTTTCATGTTTCAGGAATGTTTCTTTTTATGTGTTTGGTTGAATGGAGATAACATTGTCATTCTATTATCAGGAAGGTTTCTTTTTATGCGTTTGGTTGAAGTGGAGATATCATTGTCGGTTCATGTTTCAGGAAGGTTTCTTTTGATGCGACAGGTTAGAGTGGAGATATCATTGTCGTGTTGTGAAACGTTTTTGGACCGGAGATTGTATCGTGATTGTACTGCGATAGCGCACTAATAGTATTGCGATAGTATTGTAATAGTATTGCGATAGTATTGTAATAGTATTGCGTTGCATGCAAGAGATAGATAGATAGATAGATAGATAGATAGATAGATAGATAGATAGATAGATAGATCTGGATCGAACGTTACAGATATATAAGCACAAAGATTTTATATATGCCTATATGAATTTTCTCTTAAAATCATTATGAATAAATATACAACCCAGGTCGACAAAAACAAGAACATTAAATTGACTACTATAAAAATGAAATATATATATAACCTTTTCATCAACAATATATATATATATATATATATATATATATATATATATATATATATATATATATTTTTTAAAGAAAAACAGACCACTTTAAGGTTCCATTATAATAATTTATCTCACCAGAGCCCTTTTAAAGGACTCCGGATCATCAGATAGCACCTCCAAAAATTAAACGAAAAATGAAATGAAAGTTGATGGGTAGTGCATACACACACCATGTATACACGTGTGACGATCTGTAAGTGGCCTATTTATTTTAAGAAGGCCCCTATCAAAATTTGGACAATGGCAGATAGATAGATAGGGAGATGGAAAGAGAGAGATATGGATCAAACGTGGCAAAGATAACTTGTGATGGTCTTTTTTTTATTGTGATGCTAAGCAATTCTTATCTCGTCTTGCCACCAAGGCTACAACCGCGAATGTGTTGTTGCTTTTAACGCAAATAACTGGTCGCTGGTGTTTCAGTCAGAACTGCCAAATCATGCTGGCAACCTCAAACATACTTTTTATTAGGAGTGATACTTTTAGTGTGAAAACAATGTTAAGCCTTCAACTGAAGCAATAAATCAGCTCATAAAAAGTTTTTATTGTTAAAGTTTGGTATTATAAAGTTTGCGCTTGAAGTCAGATTTTGTAATTGACCTCTGCCAGTCAACGTGTTAAATGAATTCTTGATATATATATATATATATATATATATATATATATATATATATATATATATTTTTTTCGACCTATGAGGGTCTAGCAGCTCAGTTCTTAGAACCAACCGCCAGATTACCCACACATTTCAATTGATTATAATGGTAAAGTATTGTGAAGAAGAAACCAGAGTTTTTGGAAGAGCCGAATACAGAGGTCTGGTGCACAAAATGTGCCTCAAGGCCCCCAAACGACCCTCCGCAGGTTTTGAATTCAGAGTTGTCCTTCTGCTAGAACGTTCGTAACGCAAGGCTCTCAGAAGCCAGTCTGTCTTGCGATTTACGCATAACTGTTCGGGTGGGGCAGAAAAGATGAATTCATACCTTTCCCAAGGCTAATTAGCCGGTATGAGAATGTAATGATCACGGCTGGAATTTGAACTCGGCGCTCCGATTACTCAATTCGAGTGGCTATCCATTACTCCAACGTCTCTCTCTCTCTCTCTCTCTCTCTCTCTCTCTCTCTCTTTCTTTCTTTCTTTCTTTCTCACACACACACACTCATACGTGCACACAAACTCGTGTGCGCACATATATAAAAAAGTTCTCCTCACACACACACATTTATATATATATATATATATATATATATATATATATATAAGTCTTGAATAAAAATGTTAAAAAAAAAAAGAAATTTCAGATACATCAGTGGTATATTAAAATTTTTTTTTTTATTATTTAAATTAGGTTCCTCAACTATTTTCGGCAAGCATGGACATCATCAGGAGAAAATTTCCTACTTGTTATATTTAAATTATTGCATGCTTATATATATATATATATATATATATATATATATATATATATATATATATAGTATTAAGTTGTAAGAGATTTTTTAATGCCAGTAGTTCATATATATATATATATATATATATATATATATATTATAAATGTGTGTATGTGTGTGTGTGTGTGTGTGTGTGTGTGTGTGTGTGTGTGTGATCGGGTGTTGTTTAAGTGTTTCCACAGTTTTCATCCGATTTCGATGATTGTTTTTTTGCTTGATAGATAACTCTTCAGTCCCGGTTTTGAGTCCAAATTGTTCGCGACAATGTCTCTCCACTACTTCCTGTCCATTATAATTCTCAGCAACATTTTACTATTTATTATCTGTTCTTGGATATATATATATCTGCTATAAAAATGTTAATAAAAATAAATACCTCAAATTATTACAATAATATTATCTATATCTATAATTATCAAAATGTGTGTGTGTGTGTGTGTGTGATCGGATGTTGCTTATGTGTTTTCACAGTTTACATCCGATTTCGATTAAATTTTTTTTGTTTGATAGATAACTCTTCAGTGCCGGTTTTGAGTCCAAATTACACATTCCCCTTCTCTTGGCCAAGCTTCAATCTCTTTCAAGTGAGGTTACCTGTTCCTTTGCGTAAAGCTTACAACTACAGTTTTAAGGCATTGCTTTCATTGTCGTTTATAGATCTTCCAGTTTTTTTTTTATTGTCCTGCCAGTTTTTGCATTGTATTCACTGTAGTAATAAGTAAGCTTGCTCTATTATTACTCAACATTTATTTTTCCAACCTCTCCTAAAGTTATTCGAGCTTAGTGATCCCCGTACCTTTACAACGCTCTCATCCGGTATTGTCCTACGCGTTTCATTTGACAATTCATAATTGTCTAAGACATGCCACGAAAGAAAAGAACTTGCCTAAGTCGCAAAACCGCTGCCGACAGATCCGCCATGCGAATAAGAGAAAACGAATCGTCTTTAGAATGTTCAGTTTGCCTGTCACAAAATGCCTCTCGGAATGCTTCAATCAGAGCCTTTGAGATCAACGTAGCAATCGACTTTGCAGAAGAGCGTACCTGAACGCTTCTGTGCACGAGGCTGAAACTGCCGATCAAAGGACTCAACGGCTGGGGAGAAACGCCCCTTCAACTGCTGCTGCGCGTGAGGCTGAAACTGATGATCAATTGACTCAATGGCTGAGGAGAAACGCCTCTTCAACTGCTGCTGCGCGTGAGGCTGAAACTGCCGATCAAAGGACTCAACGGCCGAGGAGAAACGCCTCTTCAACTGCTGCTGCGCGTGAGGCTGAAACTGCAGATCAAAGGACTCAACAGCTGTGGAGAAACGCCTCTTCAACTGCTGCTGCGCGTGAGGCTGAAACTGCTGATCAAATGACTCAATGGCTGAGGAGAAACGCCTTTTCAACTGCTGCTGCGCGTGAGGCTGAAACTGCCGATCAAAGGACTCAACGGCCGAGGAGAAACGCCTCTTCAACTGCTGCTGCGCGTGAGGCAGAAACTGCAGATCAAATGACTCAATGGCTGAGGAGAAACGCCTTTTCAACTGCTGCTGCGCGTGAGGCTGAAACTGCTGATCAAATGAATCAATGGCTGAGGAGAAACGCCTCTTCAACTGCTGCTGCGCGTGAGGCTGAAACTGCTGATCAAATGACTCAACGGCCGAGGAGAAATACTTATTCAAGTGCTGCTGTGCGTGAGGCCGAAACAGGTCTGAGAACTCAAAAAACGACCCTTTTAAGATCCACCCAATTTTAATCTTTAAATTTTGTGATGTGCCTCAGTTGCACCCAATTGTTGTTACTAATATTGATTTTTTATTATATATATATATATATATATATATATATATATATATATATATATATATATATATATATAATAAAGCGCTAATCATCTGTGTATGTATGTATGCATGTATGTCCACAAGTACAGCTTAAACTCTACATAATACCCCAAACAATTTAAAAGCATACTGTACTCTGAACCATTGCTGATTGCAGTGCGAAATGTTGCCGTCTTTGGTATTCATTATTAAATGCAAAGTCCATTTTATGGAAGAAATTTAATAATAATATGTTTAAACATTCGTCTACTTATACCATAACCTTTAAAATTGTGAAGAAGACCGCTATGCCAAACGTTGTGAAATGCTTCGTTCTTCTCTTTGATAAACTCTTTTCGCAATAATACCTAACACATCAGTATTTGACCTAGAGAAGCGAAAGCCATACAGCTTGTTTGATATATATATATATATATATATATATATATATATATATATAAAGTGATTGATCAATTGTTGAAACTCCCTGACTAGTCGCCCGAACATTGTGCAAAAATATTCGTATACGAAAACTGTATTTGAGGTTCTGAATATCACATTAATCAGCTGACAAACTGTATTTGTTATTTTGTCTCTCTCTCTCTCTCTGTATATATATATATATATATGTGTGTGTGTGTGTGTGTGTGTGTGTGTGTGTGTGTGTGTAAAACTTATAATATAAGATATAAATAAAAATATATTCGAAAAAGTCAATATAAATAAAGAAAAAAGCCAAGCTTTTCTTTACCAACGCGTTTCGTCATTTGATGATTGATAAAGCCGATCAAATGAAAAACCGCATTGGTAAAGAAAAGTTTTCAATTTGTCTTTTTCATATATATATATATATATATATATATATACACACACATATATATATATATATATATATATATATATATATATATATATATATATATATATATATATATATATATATATATATATATATATGTCTGTGTGTCTGTATCTCTGTGTGTGTACGCTTCATCGAATGTAACGAGCAAGGAAAATTTTATAAATTTTTAATTAGTTTTTTTTCTTTTATGGAGACAAACAGTGTATGGAAATTGTCTACAGTGATTATCGTCTCAAACGCTTTCGGCCAATTCATTAGCCATTTTGAATGGGTTCGTTGGTAATTATTTTTAGCCATTGTTTGTTTTATAGGATAAAATAAAATAAAATATTATAGGCCATTAGAAAAGAAAGACTCTTTCTCGCTGGGAAATTGAAGAAAAAGAAGTTTAGTAATAGAAAATAGTTTTAAACTGGAAAGGAATAAAAGACTATAAACGTTTGCTGAAGATATTCTTTTTAGGGAGTAATAAAAAATAAATCGAGCAGAATTTTTTTTGTTTGTTTGATTTTTGTAAAAGATCAATTTTGAGTTGATAAAGTTAAACATTTCCTTTGTAATGTTATTGGTCCTGACCTGTCATCTCGGTTTCAGTCACATTCTCACCACTGTAATGTAGCTAATCTCAGTACTAGATTGGCGGTCAATTTTTACAGTTGAAATGGCTAGATGCAATAGT